TTTAGATTAAAAATTCCTCCGTCACTAAGTACAATAAATTTCGCCAGTCACTTTGAATTCTTAATACGAGGGTTGTGCCGAAAATAATGCAAAAGTGAGCGTGACATTTTTATTAACTGATATAGGCTGTTCGAAGAACATATATTGTTGGTGGTACTCTTCCTCTATACAGGTGTTTCGGAATTGTTTTCTTCCATGCAGGTGAATAATGGATTCCACGCAGAAGCAATGTGCTGTTATTGAGTTCTTGACGAAGGAGGGGTGTAATTTTTTCGACATCTATGAAGGCTACAGAATATGTACGGAGATGACACTATTGACGAGAGTAATGTGCACAGGTGGATGAAAAAGTTTACAGAAGGGAAAACCAGTACTGAAGATAAACCGTGTAGTGGGAGAGCATCAAGTGTAACCACTGACAGGAATCGTCAGCGAGTGGATGAGTTGATTCGCGTGGACAGACGTGTCACAATCGGTGAGCTTGCTACACAACTGGGCTGTGCTCGCAATGCCATACAGGAGATGCTAGGGAACTTAGGGTATCGGAAGGTGTGTGCAAAATAGGTACGTCGGCAGTTGAGCCCCGATTTGATAGATAGAAGAGCAGAAGTCTACTTTGATCATTTTGAAGCGTTTGAAGCCAACCAAGTCACGTTTGGGGATGAAACGTGGACGTTTCGGATTGTCGGAATGATCCGGAAACAAACACCAGACGAGGTGAAACTGTCTGTGAAGAAATGGATATGACAGTGCACACCTGACTATTTTCAAAGAGGATTTGAGAGTTGTGTTCGAAGATGGCGCAAATGCATAACTCTCAATAAGCGACTATGTTGAGTGGTATATATGGATAAAGGAAGAGTTATTCCCACAACATGTGCAATTTGAATAACCTATATCGCTTAATAAACAAGTTACACCCACTTTTGGAATTACTTTCGGTACAGCCCTCGTATAATGACGTAAAAATAAATAATACTTATTAGTAATAAGTTATTACTATTATTTGAGAAAAATTCTTGGTCAAATACAACGATAGACTTATATTAGTCGCGTTTACTCGAAATAAACGAAAAATCAAGTTCGAATCGAAAGGATAATTATCTACCAGCGATAATATATAAAATGCAAATCCCACGCATAAAACGCGCTTCGTCAGTTTGTTTAGATCGAGTTGTTTTTTAGATTGTGTTGCGAAAATACCGCGCTCCTGTTCCTGTTATGCCACTTACACTTGAGTATTCGCACATATGTTCTTCGAAACGCTGCGTTACATAGGGCATAACACATTGGATTCACAGTACTGTTAATGTAACAAAGATAATAGAAAAAGTCCCACAGTTGCTGCGGTATGTACCACGAACAGGCTGTGATGGATTTGATCAGAACGAGAATATTGTATGGTGTCCAAGTAATGATGAATGCCAACAAGATGGCCGATAAAGTCTTTGCGGCCTTACGTTCCCCTTTCTTGTCCTGAAGATTCTTCTTTTTCTTGTCTGCGTCGTCACTTGTAGCACTCTTACTCGTTACCTGTTTTGGAATGTTCTTCGTATTTAAAGGCATTCTTATATCAGGCATTTGCGACGGTCTTCTGATTATTGATGCAGGACTTTCGTTGTGGTACATTTTTATGCTCGGCCCATCTGTGTATTTTCCTATACCGCTGCTGTCTCTTGGAAGCCGGATTAGAATTGTGTAGACCTATAAAATTTTGTATAATGTTAAGAAGTCTGTTCGAATCACTACGTTGCCAATTTAATTTTATATGATTGCAATTCTTTTTCATGATTGTCTCTTTTGCAATATCAGTATCACTATTTTAACATAAAATAATTCCGTAAAAAGCATGCATGTGACTTTTATGGATCTGTTCAGAAGCAATATTTATTAGGTATGTATATCCATAAAATACACATACAGAATGTTTGGCCACTGGTGTCCGAAATTTTAAAGGCTTATTCTACATGCCAAATTGTTAGACGAAAATCAACAATCATGAAATTGCATTTGAGGCTTCATTTCCGAGTCAATTAATTGTTGAAAATACAGGTGAAATATGTCCTAGAATGTGTGCTACCTGTTGTATGCTGTGTATCACATTTTCATTTTTTTGGACGAGGCTTGAAAAATGTTTTTTCAAACCTCCTCAAAATGACACACGCCACGCAAAACGTCTTTACAGGTTACCCAGTGAGCGAGTCTTTTTAGGTTGCTACAACACTGCTGATTATCGACCCAGACGGTAAACCTACTGACACACGCGCCTCTTAATTACAATAACCCACCACGCCAGACGTGCTTCATTCGTATTATCAATAATTCGATTTACAATTACTTTGGTGGATAGAATCCACACTGTGAAAATGTCCCACATTTTTATTAACACTTTGTGTAATATATACATACAAAGTGATGAGCATATACTGGACAAAAGAAGACTATACTGTATAGAGAGTGCTGAATTTACGATATTTGTGGTATGAGATTATGCACTTCAACTTGTTCGGCTACAGTCTGACTTCTGTAAACGATTTTTGTTATCAGATGATGTTATCTTCTACATCCAAAGATATATTTTTATTATTCTAAAAAACGAGTGGTTATGACAGAACAAGCCAACGGTGTTTCTCTGTATTATATTATTTGTATCTGAACTGTGTCTAAGTAACTAGATTCTAACAACCAAACATCGATTCAGTTAACTATTCATTTAAGGGGATTAGTTGGGGGAGTAATAATGAAACATGCAGAAACATGAATAATCATGCAGTAGCCTCAAAACTTGGAGGAATATGAACGTACAGAATCATTGGAGATACTTTTGGTTGATAACTCGCTGACTTTTCCAGGTTTTCCATACTCGTGGTTGTCAGCAAAACTAATGCTTTTGTCAGTAGTTAGAGTTGTAGAATGAATTCCGCTTATTGATGGAGATCGGGACACCGTACCAGTAAGAGGAGTTTCTGCTGACAATGGTGTGATCACTTCATCGTAACCAGGGCCCGTGCGACTACTTTCAGCGCCGTCGACTTCATCCTCATCATCGTCATCGTCATCATCGTCGCGTCCACTAAGCCACCATGCGATGCACCACATTTTAAGCCACATCCATGAAAAAGGTCTATATTTCTGCAAAAATATTAAGGCAGAGATTAAGTTACACAGATTTCATTTTTTTCTGTCAACGGTTCTGACAAGCCTTAGTTTGTGCACTGTCAACTAGTCGTCGAGACGCCTTAAAGACGGCTTAAAGACGTCTTAGGCCTAAAATATCCGTAAAATAGACGTTTTCAAGGCGTCATGTGCTATCTGGAATGGATATTTTTGCCGCTCGTATGTCGTCCGTGTTTCTGCAGTCGCTGGCGACTAGCTAGTTGCAGAGACTCAGTGTGTAAGCTCTCATAATATATTCTTATGCACTTCGCAGTCGTCGGCGACTAGTCAATAGTGCGCAAATGGCCTAACATCCCATATCATTTTAGTGTTTCGTCCGACGTTATCAGCAATCTACGAATTCTAGATATTATAATAGACCTAACATGGAATGTAATTTTCTGTCATATGCTTCGAGGGATCCAAAGCCCCTTACCATTTCAGTGTTAATATCCGACGTAACCGATAACGCATGAATTTTGGGTATTATTAGCACAAATGAAGCTATACATATATTCCATTCATATTACATGTATCTAATATGATTTGCTGGTGACAAATATTTTCGATGCTTTGGTTTAAACTATTAAAGGATGAATACGACACTCATGATACATGACTCGCGAAAGTATATGCATGCTTTATTCGTATTATGTGTACAGGGTGTTAATAAAAATGTGAGACGCTTCCATAGAGTGGATTCTACACGCCAAATTAAGTCGAAAATCAGGATTGCCAAAGTTCCGTTCGAGGCTTCGTTTCCGAGTTACTGATTGTTGAAAATACGGGCAAAATACGTGTGAAATGCATCTGGCGGGATGGATTGTACTATTTATAAATAACAGTCGATTCCCAGCTGATTGTATCGATCGATTGTCTAGCTAATATTGTCTAGCGTGTAAAATCCACTCTGTAAAAGTGTCTCACATGTTTCTTAATACCCTGTATAACGTAACTTGACGGATTTTATGTTTTTATTCTATACTGCGAGAGATTAATTTTCCTTTGTTTTTATATTTGTTTTATAAACCCTGCGGCGTCCTCTTTACTTCACTGGTAATAAGTTATATTTAGCTCGTTACAATTGGTAGTCGTACAAATAGATGTCCAAAAGTTTTTAGTTTATTTAAATCTTTGTGAAATCTTTAACGGGGTTAAGCCTGTGTCAGTGATAACAGTTTTTAAAAAGAACTGATAAAACATGTTATTATGAGAATCATTTTGAATACTTACTGTTTCATATTGAGAATAGTGTCTATCGAGATACGAGACTGCGATATGTGTCGAATTCATGTCGCTTACACCCGTGCTAGATTCGCTCCTAGGCCTTCTGCTGTCATCCGTGTCCAACCGACCACTAATATCAAAGAAAAAACATATACAATAACTGATAACGATTTATAAACTTAATTTTTTTTTAATTCTTACTATTGTGCTTTGTCCTTAATGTTTATCGATTAGTTGTATGTACTATGCAGAGCTGGAAAGACGTTGTGTGGGGACATACTGACGCAAGAGAAACTTCACATTTGAAATCCGTTAGTTGTATATAAGAAACAATATTGTGCGGTGATGAGAGTAAATGGAAACACTCAGAATGAGCAACAAAAGGTGAGCGCAAGCTCTTAGCGAGACGGCTAGATCAAAAATAAGAGTGATAAGCTTAAGTGCACAATGAACCAGTGATTACCGAATAATGCAATCTTTATATTTTTCTTTTAACACAATCTCGGTCGGATTGTTTTTAACAATGTATAATCTGCAATGCTTTAAAGTCTGCAAATCAAAACGTTATCCAATTATGGTCTGTATATGGCCATTAGGGTGCCAGTTATTTATTTACTAAAATAAAAAATTCGAATTTTCGGTGGGACCCCACCTAGCTTTGTTACTATTGATTTAATATTTCACTACACCAAATTTCTTACTTACTTTGAAGGCGATCAAGCGTAATTGTATGTGTATTGGATACAAGACTTTTTAAAGAACCATTCTCATTACTTGTGGGACACACCACCTATGTTTTTTTTACCACGTTTTTATTAACTCGCTTTCTTGTCTGTCTGTTTGTCTGTTCGGTAGAAATTTTGCAATTGATTTTAAACTAACTTCCCGATGAGCTAGAGACTTGAAACTTTAAACATAGCTCAGAACTGGATGACAATGCAATATTAACTCGCTTTCTCGTAATCGTGTTCTCGCTTCAATGCAATATTAACTTTAAATTGTGAATTTCGTGAAGAGAAACTGAAATAAACCTCAAAATTTACCACATGTCTCTGTTATATCAAAATGTTTAAAATCAATTGAAAAATTTCACACATACAAGACTAAACAGCAGAAAATAATTATTTAAATAAAAAAAAATGTTTAATATACCACGTTTTTAAGACGGACTAAAAAGAATAAAATAATTTTTCCTAGCACCATACAGATAGTCCTGAAAATTTGTGATTGTGAATTTTTAATAGCTATGAAAATACTTGTAAGATTTAAAACGAAAAACGTGGGGCGCAAGAATTATCTTAATAGTAAGGAGTGTAGAGAGTAGCTGCCGTTGAGAAAACCCACACAACAGTTCATATCATTTGCAGTGCAATAAAATTGTTAGTGACTTAGGTGCACTATTCATGCATCAATTATCTATTGCATGCGCCCCACGTTTTTCCGTTTTAAATCTTACAAGTATTTTCATAGCTATTAAAAATTCACAAACACAAATTTTCAGGACTATCTGTATAGGGCTAGGAAATGTTATTTTATACTTTTTAGTCCGTCTTAAAAACGTGGTATATTAAAAATTTGTTTTTATTTAAATAATTATTCCAAGGCTAATTGACCTATTGACACACCTGCGGTATCCCTTTAAAATACATAGCGTTCTTCAATATTTTTCTGTTTCTTGGTGCGTCAAGCCACGAAATTAATAACAAAAACTCAGTATAAGCAATCACCAATCGGTGTTATTTTAAATATGAAGTTGGGAAACGTCTCTCTTAGCTGACAATCACAATACCTTTCCGACACCACAGCAACTAAGCATATAAGACGTATTGAAGCACACCTAAGAAGAATAAAACAGGAGTTGACTTTCCTTAAGACAAGCTAAAATTTGTAAAGTGGCGTACATTCGCGAGTGCGTGAAGTTTTTTAAGGTGCGCATTCCCTGTGTAAGAACGTTTACGCTCCTCAAACGTCCAGTTTTGCAGCTCTGATATAAAACTTCATATGGTTCTTTGGCAAGCACAGAAACCTTACAAATGTTCTGTTTCTTTATAAATTATCACGTAATAATATTTCACTACCACCTATTTTAAAATGTGTGCGTTTGCACAGGTCTAGCGAGCAAACGTGTGATATTTTGAAAGATCTAAAAGGCAATTCGTGGGATTTAAGGCGATACAATCATATTACATGTACTTATCTTCATCACCATGTAGCTCCTGGAATCAACAATACGTCCCTGACAATTAGCGACGGTTAGGAGTTTTGCAAGAGTAGTACTCAGTCGTAATTAGTCGTAGTTAGTGCAGTAATCTCGTCACTAATTGTTTGGTACGCAGGAGTCTTATTTTCTTTTTTACATGTCTTCTTATTTACCTGGCTGCTGATCACGCACGCTGAGTAAACAAATGAAGAAACAGTTTTTCTTTTGACGTGTTGAAAGCAAGAATCCGAGTATTTTGACAAACCGAAAGAACGATTCCGATGACTTGTCTGAGAATTGTGTGGAGGATCTGCACATATAGCACGAAGAATTCGATATTCCATTATAATTGCACATTGTGGGCGTATTATTCTACAGGGTGGTAATAAAAATGTAGCACACTTTCACAGGGTGGAAGTTATATGCGAAACTAAAACGAAAGTCAAGAATGACGAAATTTTGTTTGAAGCTTTGTTTCTTGAGTTATGAATTGTTGAAAATACGATTTGAAAATAATGAATTAATCCAATAAACGGTATACGAGTTGATTTCGTTCATTAGTGTTCTCCAAACCATACAACTTTTCTATAAAAAAATTTTTCATACAATGCATACTTTTGAAGTTATTAAGATTGAACAAGTTGTGTGAACCACCCTGTATATTGTATATATAAAGCAAATGTTTCGCTTGATTCTGAAACTGTGCGAAGAGGTTCCATTATAAGCATTGTCCAAGAAGGCTTGCCACCGCGTTAAAAAAATCATAGCGTTGGGCTTGGTTGACGTGAAGAGTCGACGTAATGGATTCTTGCTTTTCCTTATTTTGTTTGCGCCGAAAGGTTACGACCTTACGTTTGCTCGATAAAGCTATACAATCTTATTAAGAGCGAAACTATCATTTTTGAACACCAATATCACGTTATTAAACGTAACTAATTAAGAATGCATAGAAAAAAGTGAATTAACCTAGATGTACTCCGCTTACTAGCGTCTTCTTTCCCTGCCTGCAAATATGGAAGAGTTTTCTGACGATTTGTGGTTTCCTTCCATATTCGCCAGTAAAGGGTAATCATCACAGTGACGGGCACATAAAATGCGGCGATTGCGGTACCAAACGTGATGTAATGATTTGTTTCGATAAATTGAATATAGCAGGCGTTCCCAGGTACTGTTCTCTGTCCTTCGATATATGGCCAAGCATAAATCCATGGTGGCCATAGAAGCAACGAAATTCCCCAGGCTGACGCTAAAATAAAAATGATCTCCTTATAGAATACATAGTATGTATACTTCAATACTGTACTGCTGTTAAAAATGCTTTTAATACAATCGTATAAACAGATTCTTTTATCTTTTTAATTCCATCCAGTATACTCTTTGTTTTAAATTCTATTGTCTATATAGGGTGGGGCAATAACTATGTCCACTTTGAATATTGCCGTTATTTGTAATAATATGGAAAAATGTTATATACAAAACTTACACGGTATAGAGAGGGGTATATTGTGAGACAGACAATTTCTGCGTGGGTGAAAGCATAGAGGAGATTTCAAGGTCATCTCTATTTTTTTTAATGGAATGCTATGTTTTTTTTATCGCGATGTGATAACCGGTGTTGAGACGACTTCAGCGAGCTATTATTGAAGGTCATGCAAGGTCAAATGTGGTAGTAAAATAAACTTTCTTACATTACAGGAGATGCTCGAAGTGGTGACCGTTTGCATCAATGCAAAGTTGCGGTACATACAGCGATACGAGATTTTGTTCAACCCAAACAGTACCGGGGTATATAATAAAAATATCAGCTTACCTATCATAATTGCTGCCTTAGAAGTCGTCCTCTTGACGCGATAGGAAAGGGGCCACTTTATAGAGAAATATCTGTCGAAGCTGATAATCAGAAGATTTAAAACCGAAGCATTGCTTGCCAAATAATCCAATGCCAACCACGTATCGCAAACGTGCGGTCCTAACGGCCAATAACCAAGCACAGTATACACTGTGAACAGAGGCATGGAGATTAAACCGATGGCGAAATCAGCGACTGCCAAACTGAATAAGAAATAATTGGAGGTAGTTTGCAGTTGTTTGTCTATTTTAAATGAAATCATCACCATGATATTTCCAACAACGGTTATCACACTAAGAAAAACGGCAATAATCACTATCATTACACGTTCCCATAGCGCGTAAGAGTGTGGTTCACCACCACAATCAAGACCATTGGTCACATTGTAGCCATCGGTTGTCGAAATATTCACGATTTCAGTAACATTCATGTCTGGAAAGTTCACTTTTACCAAAAAATTTCTTACTTGTTTCTGAACCCGTTTGTTATTATATCTCTTTTTCAACTCTATTCTCAAACTTTCCTTCTTTGCTTCTGTTTCGTTTCGTTTTTGCTGCTTTCATATAGATGTACCGTCTTTTCATTTTCAATAATTTAGCTTCAACTAATGTCAATTTTAAGGACGTTGATCTTCCTGTCTAAAATTCTTTTCTTATTTAGCGTAACGTCTCCTGTATAAATGTTTTCCTGTTGTTTATGTAAATTATTGTTGTCTTAACTTGTTTCTTATTTAAAACGACGTTTTTTACATATAAAAGTTTTCCCTTTAGTTTTAATTTTATCGTTTGTAATTCTTACACAGTATTTCCTTTCCTTCCGTTTTCATACGATTTTTCGCCCTTATAATGTTATTTAAAGCATTTTGCGTTTGTCGTTGTAATAGAAACATTTTGAAGCTCTAGTTTCTCATCTCTATTCCATTTGCCGTATATTTGTTTACTATTTCTGAAAGAATATTTTCTTATATATTCACGAAAATATCTTTCTCTCTCTCTCTAGTTTTTCCTTCTTCTGGCGTACTCCTTTCCTCTCTCCCTCTCTTCTCTTCCTCTGTTTAACTACTATTTCTTGTCCGTATATGTTTAGAATTATTTTTATTCTGGTATGTTTCTTGTATGTCACGTATTGGACCAACTCATCTTTATTTCGATTTCAATCTATCCGCAACATCTGCTTTCTTGAGCTCTACGCGTCGTTTGCATGCGTGCAATAACGACATTCAATTACTCCTTTCTCTTCACGGAATTAAAGAGTACGTTATCTGCATATCTTCCTCAATTTCCATATCGATGGCGAGCAATCTGCAAGTAGACAGTTAGATTTTATTAATAAAAAAATACTTAATTCAGGGATTAAGGGGGGAGACTCCTTCGGGGCCAACTCCGAATCGATCGAAGCGCCACTGTAAAAAATCGGGCGCTAGCGAAAACACATACAGTGTCCGTTTATTGCATATTTCGAGGCTATAGAGGGCCAGAATTCCAGGAATTATAAAATAAAGGTGCACCAATCACCCGAGCGCTTTCCCCACCACTAGGCCGTTCAGTTGTGCGACTCAGCTACATATAGGGTAGGCTGGATATACGCAGTTTATAGACATCTTAATTATCTCCGTTATTTTTAGAGATATCAGAAGAGTTTATTCTCAGAAGTTATTTAATATGGAAAGGACTATTACTTAGCAGTAACAATTTTTTCCTAAGTGGCAGATCTTCATAGTTTTCAAGGTTAATTATGTTTTCTCTTTAATGATACTAAAACATTATGGAATAAAATATTTTTTTTACGTAAATGGATTCTTCTAAACATTCTGCGTAATAAAATCTTAATGTATTATGTGCAAGAAGTTAATAATTCGTGATATTTTACATACAAAATAGGAAATTTGTCACAAACTATTAACTATTTCTCGACTTATAACAAAATTATTTCTGCTATGTTATGGTCCTTCTGATACCATATAACATTTGTGAATAAACTTTTCTTTATATCTGCAGAAATAACTTTTCTTCCCGGACATTATGTTTCTCGCAGGAATGAGAAATTGTTTCGTCTTTGGTGTAATCTGATGCTCTCGGACAGTCATTCTCCGACACGTATTCACTTGGTAGAAATACTCTCGAAAACGATTCGCGACAATTTTACTTTCAAATGGACACCTAGCTTTAGGGCCCTCTATGGCAACATTGGTACTCGCGTGCACGCAGGGCCGTACAGCTCTTGGTGCGGTCACATCAATAGGCGACTTTCTACTATGTATGTAAACGCTTAAATTTACGACGTCACAGTATCTTGCTCGTCGACTATAAGGCCGAAGCAACTCACAGTCAGGGTGTTAACTGTTGATCTGCGAGAGCGTCGCAGGCGTAGTTATGTAGAGCAAACCTACCCTTGCATATTTCGGATACTTACTAATAACGATGCTGTAGATAAATGTTCATCTACGCATGTATTATGTGTGTGAGTACGTCTATGTGCTGCTGCGCGCTTTGCCGCCTGATCTGCATACAGCACGCGTTCGAAGATGGATCCTGAAAAATGTATCATTTGTACTTCCAAAAGAATAATATTGTATAATCCTATTATACAGAATAAAGTACGTAAAGTATAAGGAAAAAGTATTTTTTTTTTAATATTGGAAAGGATAGGAAATGTTATTGGTCGAAGTTGACATGCTTTAGAGGGGCTATTTTTTATTTAACTTGGTATTTTTGTATACTGACAAGGGAACATATCGAACCCAAACACGCCGATTCGATTACCTAATAAATTCCACCTTTATAATTCCACTAGTGAGCCAGCATTCGGTAATCATAATGCTGCACTAGCATCCAATGTTTACGTGTTAAGGATATGAGACCAGATATGAAGGATAAAAAAGGAAAATTAAATTATGTTAATTAATAGCGGAATATTAAGTGAATAATGTAACTCAAATTTATTACCAACTAAAGAATCCATACTAGTATCCAAGGTATCGTTGTCATCACCGATGTAAATGTTCCCCAGAACGTGCGTGCCATCATATACAGCGATATGGACAGAAGTCATTTTGAAAATCTATAATGACCCTGAAACATTAAAATTATCATAATTTATTAGTAGATCCGTACAGTGTTGTACAGTGCATGGTATAGTATATTAACTGTTTTAAAGTTACGATTTATAAAACAAATTCGTATCTTTTTCGTATAATAAAATATCAGTATAAAAATCCACAATAAAAACTATCAAGCTGATTTTATACGGAAATTGTAAGAAAAGCATAGTTAAGTAGTAGTTTTGAGATGATGTATGTGGAGAAATGATTCAAAACACTATTATGACTATAACTAACGTTTATTTACATCTATTCACTACTATATACAAAAGAATTCCAAAAGGAATCAATGTTGCTTGTTTCACAACAAACCGCACTTGCCCTAACATTAAGGGTAGCGAACAACTCGTGCCCAAAGGCCTTATCATGGCCTGCATCTCTGCATTGTCTTTTCGGGGGAGAAAAACTATAGTCTGGTGAAAAAGTTCGGGAACTACATGTATAAATAATTTATTATTAATTTTAACAATAATCCCATTGGATCACCATGAAGGTAATCTTGTACTCTTATACACCTTCGGCATCTTTAATTCCAGTTTTCGAAACCGACGTGTAGGCGGACACCAGAATCAAGTCTACTTCCTCCTACAATTTCTTAATCATTGTCTCTCGGTGAAAAGTAACTATAATTAACTTAACATAAAAAGTAAGTACAAACTGTAACTATAAATAGATGTAAAATAAATACAAGTAGGTATGTAAAAATGAGAACATAAAATAAATATAAATAGGTGATTAATATAGTATAAGCAGATAACCGTGAATGCAGCGTACCTAAGCAGGTTATATTTAAAGAGTACTATTTCAGTTAATAGGGTTGCTGGGTAAACAGTGTTAATATAAATATGCAACTTATTAGCTCTAGTCGAAACATAGTGCCTGAGCTGTTCTCTGCTAGATTTAGTCTGTGTTTGATTGAGAGATCCACTTTTCTCTCCCCGTTTCCTTCTCCCCTGTTTTAAAAACATTGCAGTTTCTGATCTTAAAGGCCATGACTTCCATAAGATTCTCAATTATAAGATTGCATTAAGGTTGCATTCTTTCTGTGAACCATTGTTTACACTTAAAAATGACACGTTCCAGGTCGTTTTTGTCGCTATCACATTCTACGCATTCAGAGCTTGGGGCCCTACCCAGGGACTTCTACCGAAACGTAAAAAACAGGTATTATATCGGTATTATCGGTTAATCCTTCGCCCTATACAACTCTATATAAGCCCTACCCTTATAGAAACCGAAAGTACCGGTATTTATTTCGGTTTTCGGTAATATATCGGTTTCGGTATAGCTTTGATGGCATAATACCGGTATCAAAATCATACCGGTTTAAGTCCCCGGCCCTACCTACCCTGTTAAAGCAAGCTCCAAAGCATCCATACCCCCTTCGCAATTATGTTGTATAGAAATCTGATATGGAATCTCCATTTCGAGAGACTCTTCTCGAAATATCCACGATTACCTTCTGGATCCGAAAACTTCCGCTACCATGGCCCCTGCTACCAATCGCAGTGCGTAGCCAGCATTACCGCGGGAACTCGGCTGGCAGACTCACGCTCTGATTGGTCAAGGTTTTTCGTTAATATCTCGTTAACAAAGCCTCGGATAACATTTTTGCTAAGGAAAAACTTGTTTCAAAACACCTCAGGAGTCTCATATTTCCGGGTTCTCCAACATTTTTGTTACACTCTGTATATGCCTGTGTTCGGGACAGTGACTGCAGACATAGTAAGACTACTGATGCCATTATTATCGAGGGGTCATGGATTTTGGGTGCCTGTGAACCCCAGAGTGAAGTTAGGTCTCTGTCACTACAGACGAGAATCGTACATCCATATGTATCCTACATGTATGCTGCACCATAGACGAGATATAAGAATAGACCTAACATCTTATAAGCCTTGGTGTCCCGCGAAAATTACGCTGGTTAGAGCGCACCTCTACATAAAAGTTTCCGATATCAGAAATTACATTCTGTAGTACATTCGTGCATTGTGTACATAGTCCTGATCTTTGGTTAAAATAAGTTTGCAAGAAAGTAATTCCTTATAATGCACAAAATATAGATAAATGTTTATTTATATTAAAAATACTTATTTTTATCTTAAGTAAAGCTGTTGAACTGCCAAAAACACTGTTATTAAATTTTTGAAAAACACCAAGCTAGCAACCGTTATAGGCTCATAGATACGAATTTGCACCAACGCGCATCTTCGATGTCGCTGCTTCGAAGGCTAAAACGTAAATAACCTTCGAGCCCTTACTTACCTGACACTGTAGGGGATAGACATATTTAACACGTTCCGTGCCACAGTGAAAAAGGCCGTACGTAG